AGCTGGAAACGTCCACGCGCAGGATTTTACGTGGACTAAGTTCTCAGCTCCTTTGGGTAAATACCAAGGAGTGGATGGCTGGGTGGTCCGGGAGGGGCGTGAGTCAGTCATGGTTCTCTGAATGCAGCACCGCCTTTCATGGGCAGAGAGCTTTCCCTAACCGGGGCTTCGCCAGCTTTTAAACGGGGACCGACGGCAGGTGGGGCATAAACACCCAGGGTCCCTTGCCCCCAGGTGGAACCCCGAGCGTGCTTCATGCTGCTTCTCAGGGTTCCCCTTAAGGGTTAAGGTCCATTGGCTCCCCGCTGGTAACCAGCTAACACAAGCGTCACTAGCTAGTTGCCTTTCCTTCCCCATCTCAAGCCCCTATAACTCCACCCGTTTCCTTCATCCCCCAAGTGAACTAACTGCCCTTACACCCTGTGTCAGCGTCTGCTCGTGCAGTGCCCAAAGAAAGATCATCCTCAGTGGTCCCCCCTCCCCACCCACACCCTAATTCATCACACCAGCGTCTTTTCCAACTCCAGCATCGTGTGCCTTGTTTTACAAGCTCTGCTGGCCTCGGTGGCACAGTGTCTGTTAGACGGTCCCCCCTGCCTGCATTCACAGGTGGCGCTAGTGGCTGAGGCTAGACTTTCACCCTGTTCCCCTTATCACAGCCCTGGGAGGGGAGGAGGTACCAGACCCAGAACTGGGAAGGAGAGGCTGTAAGTGCAGCGGGTCAGGGCACGCTGTGCGTCTGGAGAACATACCCCCCGAGCATCCGCGTATGTCCGGGGCTAACCAGCAGCACACACCTGCCGGAAAATCACAGCTCCACACCTCTCCCTCTCTCTCTAGGCCCCACCTGCCCTTTGGGGAAAAATTAAGCTATAATTCACTTTGAATCAGAAAACACTTTTTAGACAACTTTAAAGTCCATTTTAAAGTTTGGGTTGCATTTCTACTGAGTTGTTTGTTTGTTTGTTTTAATTAAACCAACATTTACTCAGAGAGCCTCATTCACCAACACAAATAATGAGCTCACCCAGCCCCACCCCCAACTTTATGCATTTTGAATTAAGAACTAAATACAGATTTTACAATGTTGAGACAACAAATGTTTGACGAGACACTTTTTAGGCATTACTGTCCCTAGTGCACTAACAGAAAACACAAATTATAGCCGCTTTCTTCCTCTTAGAGACCAGTTGAGTATATCCAGCTAGGAGTATTTTAATTGAATGATATTAATTATCTCCTTTAAAAACATTTTTACAGCAGAGGATTTTACACTAGAACAGGAAACCCCAGTCATATGAGAACATGTCAGCCTGTTGGTATTCATTCGTGCATTAATTTCATAATTGTCTCAACTCCATTTATGTGTTGTGGAGACCCACTAAGGTTTTAGAGTTGAGTAAAAACTTTTAATTTAGCTGGATCAAATTTAGTTTCTTCCCTATGTGACAGAGGGTTCCAGTCATGTCAACCCCCCACCCTTGATGAGTTTACTAAATAGTTAAGAAAACAAGACACAACATGAGAAGTGACATATTAACACAAAGAGGCAGAGCTTTTGTCTCAAGGGAGGGACACAGACAAGCAAAAGGAGGGCACAGCTCAGGAACGTGGCATCCGCAGGTCACAGGCCAGGCACAGGTCCCCCATGAAGAGGCCTGGAGATCCTCTTAAGCACCACCAGCTCAGGTAGCAGACAGTTTCCCAAACAACTGGGATTGAAAGAGGGTGAGTGAGCATCAATCCCGGTGAGAGGCGTCTCCTGACTGCGAACCCCACCCTGTGCCCACCAGGTTGACAGCGGACAGGGCACTGACGACCCAGGCAATGTCGCAGAGGAGTGAGTGAGCCCACTGTGTCAACCAGGTGCCCACGACAGGTATGTGGCAGGTAACTTCAGGGAGGTAAGGCGGAGGTTGTAGGACAGCCGTGTAACCAGTGGGAAGAGCACGGCAGACAGAGCAGTGCGCTTTGGTGTGAAAAGATGGGAGCGCCAGGGGAGCAGCTGGGCACAGACGGGGAGCACTTCCCTCCAAAGTGCTGGATGTCTCAGGGCCTTACCCCCAGCCCAGGGAGGCCTGCAGAGGTCTGGTGTCCTTGGAGCCTCTCAGGCCCCCTGTGCCCTCCAGGGTTACCCTCTTTATAGGACAGGAAAGGATCCACCTGTGACAACCCCCAGGCTTAGGAAGGGCAGCCCAGCAGTGCTCTCGGGGCCAGAGAAGGAAGACAGAAGGGGAGAAAGCACCCCTGTGCCCTGGCTGTGTGTTTCCCTTGGGTTCTCCGACACCATAGACATCCTGGGCTGTCTCCAGAAACCGGGGACCTGGTGGCTGCCTGCTGCCCCAGCGCTGTACCACACAGACTTCCTCCCAGGATGGCTCGGAAGAGCCTCCCCATCTCCACCCCAGGCCATAAGGCCCCTCCCATATCTGAGCCCCTCACCCAGGCCTGCTCTGAGCAGTCACCTGGTCCCCAGAGGAAGTGTGCACACACCCCTCTCCCAGCCAGGTACCCACCACACGCACTCAGGGCCCACACACCATGCGGGGGCAGGTCCTCCAGAGCTGCACTAGGTGGGTCACCTGTGACCTGGGCGCTCCCCCCACTCCCAGACTCATGCCGAGGTCCCAGCCCGAGGCCCTTCCGGTGCCCCCACAGGCTGAGCCGCCTCCTCTCCTGCAGCCCTTGCCCCTGTCAGGGAGCATCTGCTAAACAGAAGTGCACGGAGAGCAACCTCAGGGGTGGGGAGGGCAGAGGGAGATGGTGGTGAGCAGAGCCCCACACGGCACCATGCTCATCTCCTGACGCCACCAGGACTGGCCCACTGACATGGAGTCGTTCCTTGGCCCACACCGCTCTCCAGGCTTTTGCTGCTGTGGATTCCCGTGCCCAGCCCCTCCCAGGTCCCATAATTCATTGCCCCAACTGCCCAACCCCTTCTAGCCCCCTCCCAGGCAAGGCACTCGAGTTTACCTGCAGTTCAACAAGCCCTCATCTGCCTCTCCTGGCAGAAGAGGGGCAGGAAGCACTAACCAGGAGGGGTCAGCACCATCCCCTCCTGCCCTAAGAGGGCACTCCAGGCCCAAGACCCATCCCAGAGCCCCTGAAGAGCCCACCAGCCCAGCCCAATGTCACACACACGCACACACACCCCACAGCACTCAAGGGCCTTTCCTCCACACATGACTTCTGAACTGAGGGCCTAGCACAAAGGCACACCTGTATGGGTACTGCCTGGGGCACATAAGCACACACTTGGTTGAGTGTGTGTAGTGCCTGAGTAAACCCTGGTTCTTGGGCCTTTATGTCTCACCCTTGGCTCCTGTACTAGGCAACTCAGGCTGCACTTGCAAATCAATGTAGGAGGGGCGCCCTAAGTCTAGACCCTAAAGGCCAGGGCAGGGTCTGGCTCAGGTTGTGGTGCCAGGCACTGTGGAGACCCAGACAGACCCTGGCCTGGAGAGCACAGCATCTAGTGAGGAGATGGACGTCAAGAAAATAAGTACTTTTATTCTCTTGCTACATGAAAGCACAGCAGTGATTACAGGCACCATCAGAGGTGTCAGCAGGTACTGACATCAGGGCAGATATCCCAGGGGTAGGTGGGTCTGGCACCCAGGACTGGAGGGTCATGGACAATCTATCTGGCTTGGGAGTCTCATTCTCACACTGCTTCCTCAGTCTCAGCTCCTGAAAATGGGCTAGAAGATGCTGCTTTTGGAAAATGAGCTTGGAGAGCAGGGGCCCACAATTCTGGGTGTTTGGTGAAGTGTAATAACTGGGAGTCTGGCTTGTGTAAATGAGATGTTAAGAATTAGACCAGGAATTAAAGTATTGGGCATGGAGTGGACCAGGCAGAGGGAACTACATGTGCAAAGGCTCTGTGGTCAGAGGGATAGTGGCAGTCAGCAGTCCTGACAGACGCAGTACGGGCCTTGGAGAACAGAGAGAAAGGGCAAAGGTGGCCAGAGATGTGCCCACGCCCCCACGGCCATGCATCCCCTTGCCTCTGACTTTTGATAAAGTATGGCAGTCCAGCTGGGGAGGGAAGCATGGTAACCTGCATGGAGCAAGCATGGAGCTGGAGGATCCGAGGCCACCTCCACAACAGACACAGAGGAAGAGAAAAGAGAAGGGCTCAGTTAGCAACAAGAAGAAACCAGGGGCAAAGCAGCTTTGACATGAGAAGCAAAAAAGAGGGGAATCAGAAGAAAGCTTTGCAGTGATTGGCTAGAAAACAAAGCAGCCCAGCTCAAAAAGAGAAAGCCAGAAACAGGACCCATTCCTGGAATTTTTTTATGTACCTTTATTGACTTCAGAGAGAGGAAGGGAGGGGGGGGAGAGAGAGAGAGAAACATCAATGATAAGAGAACCCCCTGCACACCCCTCCACCAGGGATGGAGCCTGCAACCCCCGCATGAGTCCTGACTGGGAATCAAACTGCAATCTCCTGGATCATAGATCAATGCTCAGCTGCGGCTGGGCTGGTCCTGGAATTTACTCTCCCCTGCCCTGTTGGGATCACCTCCTTCAAGAAACAACCCTGATCACGTTGAAGTCCCCTTCTCCGGAGACACACGCTTCCCTATCTCAGGACAAACTCTGTGTTTAAACTCACCAAATCCAGGGTACTTGCTTCCTCTGCCCACCAGGGGGCCTTCCAGCTCCAGGCCTCAGCCCAGCAGGACCCCACTGGCTGCCACTTCCCCTCGCATTCTCCCCGTGGGCACTCCCCACATTCTGGTTCCTTTCTCCTGGCTCCCCCTGATGAATGGTCCTACAAGCAGAGACCCCCCCACATCTAGCAGTGAAGGAAAGGAAAGGCAAGAGCAGTAGCCAAGAGGTGGTTCAGGTTCCCACAGGAACAAAGGGACTGAAGTCAAAACTTTCCGTGGAAAGCACTGTGATTTATCGTGGCCGGTCTCCTGCCTCTGGGGCCGCCCACCACAGCAACTCCAACTAAGCCATCAGAGAGGAGTCCCGGCTTCCCAATGCTGGTGTGTCTTTCAAAGAAGAAAATTTAATTTACATTCAAGCCACATTTTGTTAGGTCACCACTCTTAACCCCACACTATTCTAAAGTCTGAGAAGCAAACACATATGTTGAGATTTTTAGAGGCATTTATACAAAAATAGTTAAACTACAATGCTTTTACCACCTGAAAAGATGGCATACAAATGGACATTTGTGAGTTTCTTAGAACTTCCCTAAAAATAACAACCGTGGGCCAAGTTTTAGAAGAAAACTATATTCTTTTAAAGAAAATGAAAATATTCTCAAAGGAAAAACTTAATTTAAGTCAAATCATATGCGTTAGTCCTGGAGCCCGAAACAGTGCTTTCCTGCAGCAGGCGCTCTCTGCCACCGGAGCGGGGCTGGAATCCACGCCAGGAGGTTCTTTTCCCGAGGCTGAAAGAATGGGGGTGTGGGGGGAATCCCCAAGCCAGGAGCTAGGGATGGGGAGACCGGGGTGGGATTGTGGCTGAAAACACCCACTGGAATCCAAGTGGCCGGAGGGCTCCTTTGCAGGCCCCACACCGTCCCATGACAGCCCCCCCAACGAGGTGCACACTGGTGTGCGAGACACAAACGCACGCCCCTGGGCCAGCCGCCACCTGCCCGCACCCAGCCGAGCACTCGGGGAGGAGGCCCTGGCCCCTTTGGAGCAGGAAACTGGCTGCAGCAGGGTACCCCGCGCCCCGGCAGTCTGGGAGCCTGCCCCTCGGGTGGGGGGGGNGGCCGGAGGCAGCCCAGACGGTGAATAAATAGAAGTAGCTTCGTAGGGGCCGGCCCCTTGGACAGCAGCTTGGTGGCAACTGGGGGGTGGGGGGTGTCGGAGGCAGGAGGCTGCACTACCCTGCGGCAAAACTCCAATCCTGGGTCACCCATCCCGCCTGCCCCTGCTCAGAGCTCCGTGATGTGCACAGCAGATGAGGGAAGCGGGCCAGGCCGCAGGCGCCTGAGGTGGCAGCGGCGACAGAGCAGGTGGCCCTCCAGCGGGTAGCAGCGGCGTCCGTCCTCCCCGCTCAGCTGAAGCCCGCAGTCCTAGGGAAGCACAACCCAAGGGTGAGCTGGCAGGGGGAGTTACTGGCATCTCAGGGTGGAGGTGGGGGGCAGAGGACTGGCTTCTATTCTTGGGGGACACACGGAACTGGGGGCCTCTTAGAGGAAGAGGGAGGTGGTTGGACTCGGCCTGGAGTCTTGGGGAGAGGGCTGGGCAGTAAGTGGGTGCTGCTGCATAAAAATGAGATGATCTTAAAATAGAGTGCAGCCCCCAGAGCACAGGAAACTAGGAAACAGGACAGACAGCTTGAGCCACCAAGACTCCAACACGAAGAAGGGCCCGTGTGGCTCAGCTGGTTGAGCATCTTCCCGCCCACCAAAAGGTCCCCAGTTCCCTTCCCCCTCAGGGCACATGCCCCCATTTGGGGGTGCATGCAGGAGGCAGCCTATCACTTCCTCCCTCCCTCCCTTTCTAAAATAAAAGGCCCCAGCACCATGGCTCAGCAGTTGACCATCAACCTAGGATCCAAGAGATCAGGGTTTGAATCCTGGTCAGGGCACATGCCTGGGTTGCGGGCTCCATCCCCAGTAGGGGGCGTGCAGGAGGCAGCCGATCAATGACTCATCATTGATATTTCCCTCTCTCCTTCTCCCTTCCTCTCTGAAATCAAAAATTTTAAAAAATGAGAAGATCTGAGCCAAGATGATTTGAGGGGAAAATAAAAGTGAGGAAAACTGAAAATGGATGTCTAAGGGCACAGTGACGAGTCACAAAGGGACCAGTGAGCATGCGGAGAGCTGCTGAGAGGTTAGGCAGTGACATCTGAGAAGTGTCCCCTGGGTCCCACCACACAGGGGTCACAGTGATCTGGGGAAGGAGAGGTTGTCAAATGCCTGAGCCCAGCGGCCTTAAGAGATAATGGGAGAGAGAAATTGGGGGACATCAAGTAAACAGAGTACTGTCCCCCATCTTATCATCTGACCACTGTGGCACACTTCATAGGCTAATTATTTAACAAGTTATGCGACTAGTATGTGACCTCTGTAAGAGAATGGCAGGAAGTGTGAGGGGCAGCCATGGAGGGTGTGCTGTCAGAGACAGTGGGACACTGGGCAAGAGCAACTGGACTTTTCCTTCCTTTTGCCTCCCACCTCAAGGAGGCCCCTTCGGTCACACTCACTGCATCCAGGGCTGAACTCCTGCCTCAAAGCATTGACACTTGTTACCCAAAGGCCCTGAGACCAACACCTGCCCTACACCAAGAAGTAATGGAGCTGGGGGGCTGCACTGGAGCTTCATGTTCCAAGCCACTCATGTCTCAAGTGTCCTCCCTGTCCTGCCACAGCCCCCTGACTGGGCCTTGCTACTAATTTTCACACTACAGAGAGGGGAGGGGAAAAGGGGCCTAGAGACCCTAGTTCCCATCCAAGGGTCTCACAATCCTGAGGCTCTGGGTGTGCGCCACCCACAGCCTGACTTGCTCCTCACCTTAGGGATTATGCTTAGCAGTCCCAAGGGACCCCACCCGTTCCAGGACAGCAGAACAGGATGCTGTTGCTGCTAGAGGGGGATCTGTGGCCCCTCTGCAGACCACGATCCTCCTTCCCTGTTCGCTCATCAGGATTCCTGCTCCCACTGGGCCACTTGCCCGCACCAGGGCAACCTGGTTCCAAAGGGACCTTTGATGGTAGATTCCTCCTCCCTCCTCTTCCCAGAGCTCTGAAAGCCAACTGCTCCTCTAGGTCTCTCTCTCTTGCCGCCTCATTCAGTCATTCTTGGCCTCCACACACACTGCTTTGCCTGCATGCATCCCCCAAATGCTGCTCTTTGGGCCAGCCTGACCCCGGCTCCTTCCTCAACACCTCCGGCCTTGCTCCGCAGGCTTCACCAGTCATCTATAGGCCCAGGATCGGGCTCCTGTTTCAGGCCATGACAGTAACAAGGACTGGACTTGCCATCCTACCTTTAAAAATGAAATGCCAGGAAAAATACATGAAACAATGGGCCCTAGACAACAGGCAAAGCAGGTCGGTGATCTCTGAGAAGGAAACCTAATGAGATGAGCCCTACAATTGCTCCAGTTTCCACTAGAGATTTTCCAGGCTGNCCTCTCTCCTTCTCCCTTCCTCTCTGAAATCAAAAATTTTAAAAAATGAGAAGATCTGAGCCAAGATGATTTGAGGGGAAAATAAAAGTGAGGAAAACTGAAAATGGATGTCTAAGGGCACAGTGACGAGTCACAAAGGGACCAGTGAGCATGCGGAGAGCTGCTGAGAGGTTAGGCAGTGACATCTGAGAAGTGTCCCCTGGGTCCCACCACACAGGGGTCACAGTGATCTGGGGAAGGAGAGGTTGTCAAATGCCTGAGCCCAGCGGCCTTAAGAGATAATGGGAGAGAGAAATTGGGGGACATCAAGTAAACAGAGTACTGTCCCCCATCTTATCATCTGACCACTGTGGCACACTTCATAGGCTAATTATTTAACAAGTTATGCGACTAGTATGTGACCTCTGTAAGAGAATGGCAGGAAGTGTGAGGGGCAGCCATGGAGGGTGTGCTGTCAGAGACAGTGGGACACTGGGCAAGAGCAACTGGACTTTTCCTTCCTTTTGCCTCCCACCTCAAGGAGGCCCCTTCGGTCACACTCACTGCATCCAGGGCTGAACTCCTGCCTCAAAGCATTGACACTTGTTACCCAAAGGCCCTGAGACCAACACCTGCCCTACACCAAGAAGTAATGGAGCTGGGGGGCTGCACTGGAGCTTCATGTTCCAAGCCACTCATGTCTCAAGTGTCCTCCCTGTCCTGCCACAGCCCCCTGACTGGGCCTTGCTACTAATTTTCACACTACAGAGAGGGGAGGGGAAAAGGGGCCTAGAGACCCTAGTTCCCATCCAAGGGTCTCACAATCCTGAGGCTCTGGGTGTGCGCCACCCACAGCCTGACTTGCTCCTCACCTTAGGGATTATGCTTAGCAGTCCCAAGGGACCCCACCCGTTCCAGGACAGCAGAACAGGATGCTGTTGCTGCTAGAGGGGGATCTGTGGCCCCTCTGCAGACCACGATCCTCCTTCCCTGTTCGCTCATCAGGATTCCTGCTCCCACTGGGCCACTTGCCCGCACCAGGGCAACCTGGTTCCAAAGGGACCTTTGATGGTAGATTCCTCCTCCCTCCTCTTCCCAGAGCTCTGAAAGCCAACTGCTCCTCTAGGTCTCTCTCTCTTGCCGCCTCATTCAGTCATTCTTGGCCTCCACACACACTGCTTTGCCTGCATGCATCCCCCAAATGCTGCTCTTTGGGCCAGCCTGACCCCGGCTCCTTCCTCAACACCTCTGGCCTTGCTCCGCAGGCTTCACCAGTCATCTATAGGCCCAGGATCGGGCTCCTGTTTCAGGCCATGACAGTAACAAGGACTGGACTTGCCATCCTACCTTTAAAAATGAAATGCCAGGAAAAATACATGAAACAATGGGCCCTAGACAACAGGCAAAGCAGGTCGGTGATCTCTGAGAAGGAAACCTAATGAGATGAGCCCTACAATTGCTCCAGTTTCCACTAGAGATTTTCCAGGCTGCCCAAAGAGGGCCCATTGGTCTCCTTGAACTGAGAACCCGGAGAGGCCAGGTGTCTAGAAACCACAGGGCAGACTGCCAGAGAGGATAGAACTATATACACCAATGACTCCCAAATTCCTATACCTGTAGTCAGAGTCTAAACTCCAGCACATCTAGCTGCTGTCTGGACATCTCTATTCAGGAGTCTCCAGCTGCCAAAAATAAGAGCATCTTATCCCCTCCTCCTCTCACCCTCACTCTCTCCTGGGGTCCAAACTCCCACATCTGACCAAATCCAGTCCTTTTTACTGCCTAACCATCACTACTCAATTTACTTCCCTGAACCCAGGACCACAGCCTCCTCAGGGAACCCCAGCCATGTCCCTTTTCCTCCATTTATTCTCTGCATGGCACTGAGTTCCCTTTCTAAAATCCAAATGCCGTGTCACCCTTTCTGATCATTCTCCATTGCCCTCAGCATAAATCACTCCTTAGCTCATGTGGCCTTTTGTCCCCAGCTCCTGCCAACTTCCCCAGTGACACAACACACCCATCTTCATGGCTAAGCACGTTCTGCTTCGATTGCCTGAAAATGCCCTTCTCACTGCCTCCTTGGCTAACTCTTACTCATCTTTCAAATCTTAGCTTGGGTGTTACCTCCTCCATAAAGCCTTCCCTGATTTCCCAAGGCCTCCTATGTGCTCCGAAAACTCCCCTTGATAGCAATAATGTCCTGCGTAGATACTTCCTGAACCTGTCTCCCCCACGGGAGTAGGGACTATGTTCTATGTGCTCCACAACACCCTACACACTGTGAATCATTAGTATTTGATTAAACAGGAATCAGGCTGAGAGAGAACATATCTTGGGGACAGGCAGAATGGGTAAGAAACCAGAAAAGAGGAGGTGGGTTCACAGAACATGGAGAAAGGAGGAGACCTGTGTGAAGGGGCCTGCCCCAGCCTCAGCCTTCCGGGAGGACCAGGCTCACCTCACAGTGGTAACATTCCACGTGGTAGTCTCTGTCCATGGACACCACACGGATGGTTGTCTCACAGCCCTGGAGGAAGAGATGGGGTTCATACACAATAAGCAAGCTGGGGTTTGAGGTGAACTGTGCATGGGGGCACATATGTACACCATATGCCCGTCATGCATTCATGCCCGTGTGAGCACTGACACTGGGCCAGAACGGACATCAGCAGATGCACCTGAATAGATGTGCGTTTGCTTTGGGCATCTGCCCATGGCTGCAGCCAAAAGGATGCACATGTGTCCATGAAAGCCATCATGTGGGTATAAACGTGAGGGTACATATTCTTTCCAGGAGACCACTGCCAATCCCGCTTCCCCAGCTTGGGACAGAACCAGCATACGTGGAAGACCCAGTGCTTGGGAGACCCAAGGGTGTCTCCTGCTCAGACTGTCCCCTCATCTCATCTGCTCCCCCACCACCTGGAGAAGTAACAGACCCAGGGACCAGTCCTTCCATCAATGGGCAATGGAGCCGAGGGTGGCCAAGCAGCAGGGGACACCATTTCCCTCTAATTCACACAGGGACACCGCACTCCGCATGCATGGGCACAATACCCATCCCTTAGCCCTCAGGGACATGGGGCAGGAGCATCTGCTCATCCCTCCTGCAGGGACCCAAGAGCTGGGGCTGACCTGAGCAGGACCAGGTAGGAGCCAGGCTAGGCCAGGCACCTGATCATCTCCTGGTGAGTGGTTCCTACCTGTGCAGGGAGAATAGGACGAGCACAGGAGGCACATTTCGGTGCAAAAACTCTGGAAAAATGAAGAAAACCAGAAGTGACCAGCTGAGTGACTACAGGCCAAAGGCGCAGAGCAGGCCCACCCACAGTAGCCCCACGACATCGCCCAAGCGTCAGGCCCCCTTCCTCATGTAGACACACAGGGTGGGAGCAGCTTCTGCCATGCCCTGGCAAGTTCCTTTTATCTGGCTTCCCACTTCTCCTCCACTCCATCACCTCCTCCAGGATGGCTTCAGGTTCCACCCAGCCCTCTCCCTCATGCTTCCTGCAAGGTCCCTGCCCCCTAATGTCCAGGTCTGGGCTGCCCTCTAACTGAGATGCCTACAAAGCCTGGCTCCACACTCAGTAACAGGGACCCATGCGAGGTACCAACCCTGTACATGGCTGCAACACAGGACCAGAGCTCCAAGTGCTGAGCCTGGAGTCACAGCAAGGGAGAATGGATTGGCTACTCACATGGGTATGGGACAGGCAGGAAAAAGACTGGAAACCCCAACCCTCCATCCCAGGCAAAGGAGGCCTGGCCTGGCCCTGGAAACAGCCAGACGCCAGGTGGGATAGCACGGAGAATCCCCACCACTAGGAGGAGCAGCAGCACAGGCAAAGGTAGGGAGAACAGAGACGGCTGGCGGCTGGGCCAGACAAGAGAGGGCTCATGGCAGCGATCTGCGCCTCAACCCACTAGTGAGCACACAAGGGGAGGCCAGAAGTGACAAGGTCAAGAACTGAGAACATAGGCCAGCCAGGAAAATGTTTCTGGGGAAAGCAGAAGAGACGGAAGTCACACCACTCCACGCACGGCTACTCACGTGTGATAGTCTCGGACACAGTAGATGTTGTTGTCCAGGTCCACGGTGAAAGGCACCCCGTCGAGGCACTCATTGCACACGGAGCACCGGAAGCAGCCTGGGTGATAGGACTTCCCAAGGGCCTGGAGGATCTGGGGGCGGGAGGCACTGGAGGGTCAGTGCAGGTGGAAGGCTCAGCACAGCCCCCGGAAAAGGCTCTGGCTCTGAGCCCCTGGCAGGTCTGCAACAGGTGAAAAGGGCGGGGTCCTAAGTTTGCCCATGTCAGAGGGGCTCCAAGAGGCTGGGGAAGGTTCTCACCATCTCCATGATGAGGTGTCCACACACACTGCACTTGTCAGCCGTCTGCTGGAACCCGGAGTACTGGCAGGGGACACAGGATCCAGGAGGTTATGTGACAAAGGGGCACTCACTGCCCAGCCAGCACCTGCCTCCTGGCCTCAGGTCTCCATGGGAATCAGGAGGGTCCCTGTCCCTGCTCCCCCCATGGCACCAGCCAGCGCACAGCTCTGACTCACCAGGAAGTCCTCCTGGCAGTACACTTTCTCGCCCACGTTGTAGAATGCCTTCCCACGAAGTCGTCTCCCTGCAAGGACGAGGGTCGAGAAAGGGGTCCCTGGGCCGCTGGAAACCAGGGATGGGGTCCCTGCTGCCATTTCTCAGCACCCTCCTCCAACAGATAAGAAGCGAATTACGAACAAATTTTAAAATTTCCCTTAATGTGATGTAATCATTACACTAATTTTTAAAATTTTTTCAATTACAGTTGACATATTAGTTTCAAGTGTACAACATCGTGATTAGACATTTATATAACTTATGAAGTGATCACCCCGTAAGTCTAATACCCATTTGACACCATACAAAGTTCTTACAATATGATTGCCTATATTCCCTATGCTGTACTTTACACCTCCGAGATTATTTTGTAACTGCCAATTTGTAGTTCTTAATCCCTCTACCTTTTCACCCAGCCCCCCAAACCCTCTCCATCTGGCAACCATCAGTCTGTTTTCTGTGTCTATGAGTCTGTTTCTTTAATATTCCACATATAAGTGAAATCATACGGTATTTGTCTTTCTCTGTCAGACTTATTTCACTTGGTATAATACCCTCTAGATCTATCCATGTTGTCGCAAATGGTAAGATTTCATTCTTTTTGTGGCTAAGCAATATTCCACTGTATACATGTAACACAGCTTCTTTATCCAGTCGTCTAGTGATGGGCACTTGGGTTGCTTCTGTATCTTAGCTATTGTAAATAACACTGCAATAAACACAGGAATACATTTATCTTTTCAAATTAGTGTTTTTCAATTTCTTTGGGTAAATACCCAGAAGTGGAATTGCTGAGTCATATGGTAGTTTTTTGATTTTTTAAAAATATATCTTTATTGATTTCATTTTTTTTTTTAATATATTTTTATTGATTTCAGAGAGAGGAAAGGCGGGGGAGAGAGACAGAGATAGAAACATCAATGATGAGAGTCATTGATCAGCTGCCTAGCCCGCAACCCGGGCATGTGCCCTGACCAGGAATTGAACCCCGATCGCCTGGATCCTAGGTAGATGCTCAACTGCTGAGCCACGCCCGGCTGGGCTTTATTGATTTCAGAGAGACGAATGGAGAGATAGAAACATCAATGATGAGAGAGTCATTGATCGGCTGCCTCCTGCACACTCCCCACTGGGGATCGAGCCCGCAACCCGGGCATGTGCCCTGACCGGGAATCGAACCTCAATCTCCTGGATCCCAGGTCGATGCTCAACTGCTGAGTCACACCCAGCCGGGCATCGTATGGTAGTTTTAATTTTTCAAGGACCCTCCATACTGTTTTCCACAGTGGCTGCACCAATTTAGAGTCCCACCGGCAGTGCACGAGGGTTCCCTTTCTCCTGTCCTCGCCAACACTTGCTGTTGACTGATTTATTGCTGACAGCCTTTCTGACAGGTGTGATGTGATATCTTATTGTGGTTTCAATTGGCATTTCCCTGATGATCAGTGGCATTGAGCATGAGCATCTTTTCATACAGTAAGTAATATTTTTAGGACACAAAGTTTTAACTACTTTTTGGCGCTTCAGCTGAACCCGGATACCTTGCTCTCTGTCTCCTTTTTCTGACCACTTTCCTTCACAGATTCCAGGAAGCTGTCTCGGCTCTCAGACCGCTTGATAAGCTCAACACGTACACTAATTTTCTTGGCAAGAACCTTGCCCTTAACTTGTTCGTTAACAACGATGCCCCCTGCATCCTGGGTGACACTGTGGACGCTTCCAGTTCTGCCATGGGAGCCATATGGGGCATTCCTTTTGAACAGCGCCCATTCCCTGGATGTCTACAGTATCACCTTTCTTGTAGATGCGCATGTCTGCAGCCAAAGCAACAAGTCCATGTTTTTAGTGTTTATTTTTTTAATCCTCACCCAAGGATATTTTTTCCATTACTTTTTCAGAGAGTGAAAGAGGGAGAGAGAGAGACAAAAATATCGATGTGAGAGAGACACATCGATTGGTTGTCTGCCACTTGCACCCTGAGCCTGCAACTGAGGTACGTGCTGGAATCGAACCGGGACCCTCCAGTCCTCGGGCTGATGCTCTAACCCCTAAGCCAAACAGGCCGGGGCAAGTCCATGTTTCCAAAAAGCCTAAAGAACATATAGCAGGTGCCTCTCCTCTTTCCCTTTGTGTTGGTCATTTTGGTGAATGACTGGAAGATGGGGATTCTGGCCGAAAAGCTAATTAATATTTCGTTTAATTTAATAGAACATGTTGTCAACAGAACTGCTGTAAGAGGTTGTCAAAGTAGATACATGAAGAACTTGTTTAAAATGTAAACTGATGTTCTAATTTTTTTTAAATCACATTCACATTCACTTCAGTTAAACTGAGAGCACTTTTCAGAATGAATTTCCTTAATTCCATGAACATCGGAAGTACAACTCTTACAGGTGAAGGAGCCTAATGTGAAAGAGGCATCCCTGTCAAAACAACAGCCCAACAGCTGTAAGAGGCATCCCCACGCGTCAGGAGGAAGCCACAGGCCTACCTAGGGACAAGAGGGCACCCACGAAAGCGCACAGCTGACAGCAGACATGATGGGGAAACAGTGAATCCTTCTGCCTTAGGGTTCAACACTGGCCCTACACGGTGCAATAAGACAGGTAAAAAAATTTAAAAACTGGAAAGAAAAAGGCTATTTTTAAACACAGATGACATGATTGTGTTAGGTAGAAATTCATAAAGAATCTACCAAAAAAAGCCTCCTAGCCCGGCCTGCGTGGCTCAGCGGCTGAGCATCAACCCATGAACCAGGAGATCGAGGTTCAATTCCTGGTCAGGGCACATGCCCGGGTTGCGGCCTTGATCCCCAGCAGGGGGTGTGCAGGAGGCAGCCGATCAATGACTCTCATCACTGGATTTTCTCTCTCCCCCTCTCCCTCACTCTGAAATCAACAAAAACATATTTAAAAAACAAAAGCAAAAACGAACCTCCTAGAACTAATGCTTGAGTTTATCTAGGTGGTCAGCATATGAAAACCAAATATATTTTTATATTCTAGCAACAAATGACTGGAAAATGGACATAATTTTTTAAATTGCACTTCTAATAGTATCCAAAAAAATCCATAAATACCAAGGATGACTTTAATGAAAGACATTTCTGACCTTACTCTGAAAAACCACTTTGCTGAGAGAAGTGTCAGAAGACCTACACAGAGATGTACCACTGCTGGGAGACAGTTCTCCACCAGGTCTCTCGAATCTCTGCAGGTCCTATAAACAGAGGGCTTCAGCCTTCACTCTGCATTACCTATCCAAGGACGTCATGGAGCAAACTGCTGAGGGGACAGAGGCAGCATCTCCCTCTGAAACAGAGGGAGGCTTGTCTGCTGTGCAGAGTAATAAAGATGTGTTCCTCCAGGACAAGGGTCAGGTAGCTTTGCTGGCAGCCCATTATAAAATACGGGGGTCCCCTGACGCAAACCTACTGCGTGTGCAGTGTCCGCCTAGGCCACCCCATGTCACCCCTGTGGTACTCGGGAGGGCAAACATGATGCGAACCGGACGTGCATCAAGCTTACAGGGCTGAATCTGCCCAGGCGGATATATATTTTTTCAGCATCCGTGAAACAGTGTCAGGACTCATGAGCTTGCAAATAGGAAAAACTCTCACACCCTGCACAATTCCTGACAACCATCTTCATGGCTTCAAATGTTCTCACATCAGTTCTCCCCAAATTGATCTATACAGTCAATGCTGCCCAATCAAAATGCCAGCATTGATTTGTGTGTGGCTGTGGAAACTGACATGCCAATTTTGAAATTTATAGAAAAACATAAAAAACATAGAATAGCCAAAATAATCTTGAAAAAAAGACCAACAAAGTGGGAAGACTTACACTACCTCCTATTTTAAGACTTACAGCAATCAAGACAGTGTAATAATATTGGGATGAGCAGAGACAGAAAGATCACTGGAGCAGAATAGAATCCAAAAATAGACCCAGAAATATTTCAACAAATACACAAGTGGGAAAGCGAGACTCTTCTGCATGTAGTGCTGAAACAACTGAATACCCATGTGGGAAAAAATTAAAAATTTCATACTTCATACAAAATACAAAAAATTAAGAAATGGGTTATCAACCTAAACATAAAAATGGGAAACCTAAAGCTTCTAAAAGAAAACAGACTATCTTCATGACCCAAAGGGAGACAAAACATTTAAGTCACAAAAAATAGTAACTACAGAGAGGAGAAACAAGATGGCGGCGTAGGTAACAGCCGCACCCGCCGCCTCCCGCAACCACATCAAAATCACAACTAAAATCCAGAACCACCAGCACCCAGAGCCTCCCGAGATCTTGCTGAACAGAAGCCCTGCAACCAGGGAACTGAAGAAGCACCGAGAGGGTAGGAGCGGCGCAAATGCGGGCGGATCGGGGCTGAATCGTGTAGACGCGGCCGCGGGCCCACACCAGGTGCCGCGGTTTAAACCCCGGAGGGACATCTCGGGGGAGGTTTCCCAGAGGAGCGAGGGGGTCCCAGCCCCACAGCAGGCCCCCAGCCCAGGGCTCCAGGGCCGGGAAGAGACGTCCCAACAACTCCAGGCTGTGAAACCAGCAGGGACTGTCTCTGAGGGTCGCGGAGGCTGCGAAGCCCCAGCAGCTCCTTTCAAAGGGCCCGGCACGGACTCACGCGGACGCTCCCTCTGAGCCCAGCGCCGGGCAGCAGCCTGAAAGGACCTGGGACACTCGGGGAGGAACTAACCTGCCTGAAGTCGGGGCGAGAGGTGGAGGGCGGCTTCCTCCCAGGCAGAAGAGCTGGCGGAGGCCCTGGCTCCTTTGGCGAGTCCTCCCCGCACACAGCCAGCAGGTAGGCGCCATGTTTGAATCCCCAGCACCTGACTCACACCTTTGGCCCCGCCCCGTGATTCCCGGA